ATGTGCCAGGCATGTGTGCAGTCGTGAGATGATGCGCGTGAGCGGGTGTGCTTATCATGTGCCAGGCATGTGTGCAGTCGTGAGATGATGCGCGTGAGCGGGTGTTCTTATCATGTGCCAGGCATGTGTGCAGTCGTGAGATGGTGCGCGTGAGCGGGTGTGCTTCTCATGTACCAGGCATGTGCGCAGTGCGGGTTGTTCTTGCTGGTGCGCGTGAGCGGGTGTTCTTATCATGTGCCAGGCATGTGTGCAGTCGTGAGATGATGCGCGTGGGCGGGTGTGCTTATCATGTACCAGGCATGTGCGCAGTGCGGGTTGTTCTTGCTGGCGACAAACCGCGTACCGACCCAGAAGTGTTGTCTGTAATCACTCAGAGGGAAAAATGGCCAATTTTCACGCTATGGTAAATAACACAGGGTCGTTACGCGGCTGCAACCAACAACAACAACAACAACAACAACAACAACAACAACAACAACAACAACAACAACAACAACAACAACAACAACAACAACAACAACAACAACAACAACAACAACAACAACAACAACAACAACAACAACCACAACAACAACAACAACAACAACAACAACAACAGCAACAACAACAACAACAACAACAACAACAACAGCAACAGCAACAGCAACAACAACAACAACAACAACAACAGCAACAACAACAACAACAACAACACACAACCACAACAACAACAACAACAACAACAACAACAACAACAACAACAACAACAACAACAACAACAACAACCACAACCACAACAACAACAACAACACACCACACCACACCACAACACAACCAACAACCACAACCAACAACCACAACCACAACCACAACCACAACCACAACAACAACAACAACAACAACAACAGCAACAGCAACAGCAACAGCAACAGCAACAGCAACAGCAACAGCAACAGCAGCAACACCTGCCACCAACGACAACCACCCGACATCAACACGTTCGGCAGTTCTTATTTTGACTTCCCAGAAGGCAGCGCCTGCACGTGTTCATTATAGAAATTGCCCTTGCCAGATGGTCGCGGAGCATCTATTTGGGACACCTTCAGCGGCGCCAACACCGTTGGAATGCCAGGCTCAGTGCCTCGGCCCTGTGACCTTTGCATGCCTGTTTGCTTGTTTCTTGCCCTCGCTGGCATGACTTGTGCGAACAGGGCTTGGCTTTGCCGAGGTATACAAATCATTTCTCTTCAATGCCTAGGGTAAGGGCAAGTGCATGCAAGTTTTTATGTTCCTGCAGCCACTTTCCTTGTTTCTTTCTTGTGCTTTGGCATCGTTACTGCATGGCAAGTGCGCCCGATTGTCCCCCCTCCCCCCGAAGCCTTGCAGCATGAGGCATGTTCTCCATTTCTGAGGTCTGCAAATCTGCCCCATGCCCTGTGAACAGCGCCATGGCAGTCAAAGGCCGGCAACTTCGCACCTTGGGGTTTCATTTTTTGAGGAGCCCGCGCTTGTGGGTATGTGTGCGGCAGGCGCTACTGGCAACGTGGCCAATGATCACTACCACAAGTTTAAGGATGATGTCACCGCCATGAAATCCATGGGTGTGAAATATTATCGCTTCTCTGTGGCATGGCCACGCGTTGTTCCCACAGGCCGTGTCGGCGATGGAGTCAACCCAAAAGGCATTCAGTTCTATCACGACCTGCTGGACGATTTGATTTCCAACGACATCACTCCTATCATCACCATGTACCACTGGGATCTCCCTCAGGGGCTGATGCACTTGGACTTTGACGCCCCGGCCAAACCTTGCGATTCATCGGTTGCGCAGGGGTGGTATGAGTGCACTATGGGCTCTGATGGAAATCCAGTGCCAACTGGAATGGAGTCAGCTGTTGCCAAAGAGTTCGAAGCGTTTGCCCAAATCCTTTTGAAAGAGTATGGCTCTAAAGTGAAGCTTGGCCTGCAACGTGGGTTTCGAATCATGTTAGGAATGACTGGCAGGCTCTTGCGATGCGAGGTGGCATGCGCTAGCTGATCATCCTGCAACATGAAAGTCAAGCATGAACTCCATGTGCCTGACTTGAGGAAAGCTTGGGCCACTTTCAACGAAGCCTGGACCTTGACCTACCTGGCCAGTGGCTACGGCAAAGCACCGTCGGTCCAGCCATACATGGAAATGACGGTTTGGCCGTATGTGGCCGGGCACAATGTGATCCTGGCGCACCTGAAGGTGGGAGCTGTTGGGAGTGTGGATCGCGTTGGTGCGGCTGTCAGAAAAATGTTCCCCTTTCAGGTGACGCAGCTTTTCAGGCAGATGCAGCAGGATGGTAGCCTTTCATCAGAACACAAGATCTTCATTACGAACAACCAGGACCGAAGCAACAAGATACAAAAATCGTCGCTTCGGCTTCGGCTTCTGGAAGCCTGGGGCGGTTCGGTTCAACCGGTTTCGGTTCGTAGCGGTTCCTCCGTCTAATCGGTTCGGTTCGGTTCGGTTCTCGGTTCGCACCGGTTCAATGGCATAGGGTTTAAACCACTGCAGCCAGGCAGTTGCATTTTGAGGGCCCTAGAAAAAGCAAAAGGGATCCTCACGGGGACTGGGTCTGACAGTGAGTGAAGGACCTGCGGAGCCTGCGGAGCCTGGGCTTTTTTCCTTTCATGGGGGCTTCAGAAAAATGAGGGACCCTTACCCCTTTGCAAACGGCAAAGGTTTGGGACAGGCGAAGCAGCTGTTTGCTTTTTCTGGACCCCGAAAAAAGCAAACAGAGAAACCCTTTTGGGACAGCGAAGGCCTGTTTGCCTTTTCCGTCTTTCATTTGCTTTTCGGGGCCCGTAGAAAGGCAAAGAGAGCAACTTTTCGGGACATGGAAGGCCTGAATGCTTTTGGAGCAAAGGTTTGCAACAGGGCCGATTGCTTTTTCCGGACTTGGAAAAAGCAAAGGGAGCAACCCGTTTGAAACAGAGAAGGCCTGTTTGCTTTTTCCGCGAGTAGCAAGGGCTTGTGACACCTGAGGCCTCTAAAACGTCCTTTTTTCCAGCACCACTTGGAGAAACGATGTTCTGTTTTTGAAAATCACGAAAGCTAGCCTTAGCTAGCTGAAGTTTCTCCTTGCGTAAGCAAGGTAAGGGGCTCAAATGCCGAAAGATTGATTTTTTCAATTATTTGAGCCGAAAAGATTGAAAAACATCAATTATTTAGACCCCCCCCCCCTCCCCCCCCCCCGGTCTCAGGCTCGATTCCTCCCTGGTCCATCCCCCCCCCCCCGGGCAGTGGCTCAGTGTTCAGCAGTCTCGGTTTGCCCGTTTTGGACTTGGTGCTACGAACTTTTACATGTTCCACCGATTCAGCTTGTTCATTTGAGACCTCAGTCTTCTCGGTAAACCACCTCGCAAGAATCTTTGCACACGCAGCATGCAGAACCCAGAGGTGCTTTCAGACAGCTTCTGACGCCTCTCGTTGTTTTCATTTTCCAAGGTTTGCCACGCCATCATGTGCGTTTGCGTGTCGCATCCTACGAATCTTGCCGGGCCTCTCGTTGTACACAAGCTACCTATGAATCCACTCTGTCACCGACCCATCTCATGCAACAACTGCTAGCTTTCGTTCACCCGCTCCTCAAGTTTGAGCACCAGACCGGCTTTTAGAACACCATAGACCACCAGGGTGATTTCGCAACACACATTTTTAGTTTTACGTAAAATGTACGACGTGCGAACAGTTCGCAAACGGTTTGCGAACGTGTTTTGAACGCTTTCCAACACCAAATAGGCACAGCCCATGACATGACGCACAAATAATGTAAACACGCACTGGAGGAAGCGACGTCAGCAACACAAGGTCCGGTCTGCTCTGCAAGCCCGAACGGTTTTTGTAGAGTGTTGAAATTTGAACACCAAGAAGGCACAAGCGAGTAAATTCAGCAGTTTTTACGGCAGCAGGCAGGGAAAACAGCTGTTGCTTTTTTCTGGAGCCTGAAACAAGCAAAACCATTCTTTGTTCGAACGCAAGGTGTTCCGGAGGCCACACAAGGCAATGCTGCGTGGGCAAGTGGAGACAAAGGCAGGGTTCCGAAGGCCGGCTCAGTTCGGTTTACTTGGTGGCGTTTTGCGGATCGTGCCGGCTCCGGTACGTGCGGTTCGCGGCTCGTGTTTGGTTCAAAGGCCATCATGCTAGTGTTATGCCAGGGGGTCTCAAAGCAGGATGCGATGGAAGCAAGCAAGTGGGGTGCTGAGTCACCCTGCAGGTTGTTCTCTAGCTGTCAGGACTGGCGCGAGCCAAAGACCGACAGCCCAAAGGACATTGCAGCTGCGCTTTACCAGGTCGAAGGCCAACTTGGATGGTAGCTACGCTTGCAATACGTTGCATGCTCCGGGATCACGATTATGCCGTGGAATCGTCCAGGAACAGTTAGTTGTGGCGGGGTAATATACCAACTACCTGGCATCCAACGACCTACACGCAGTCTTTGTGATGCTTGCATAGCACAGCACAGCATAGCATAGCTTAGCATAGCATTTGTTGGCTCCTATTGTCTAGCAGGAAGCTCACATGGATTGCAATGCAACGCATCGGGTTGATTTGGGATTGTGACTTAGAATTGCCAGCCTGCAAGGTATTGTGATCCCATCTTTGGCGTTGACGGGGAGCACGATTATCCTTATTCCATGCGCTCCACTCTGCCATACATGCCAAAGTTCAGTGACAAAGAGAAGGCCTACTGGCTAGTGCTGCTGGCGAGGGGTCAAGCGTTGATGTAGAATGGACTGAATGGACTCACTATGAGGCGTCCAAGGGTCGGGAGGCTCGACAGTCTCGTTTCGGCTGCTATTCCAGGCACTTGAGTAGCTCCCTGAATCTTTGAGCAACTCATGCTAGTGGGAATTACTTTTTTCACAGACGCTTGCGTTCGCACTTGCCTGTTTGCTCACGCTCCATGGCAGGCGCTGCTCAAATCTAATCGGCCAGATATTTTCGGACTGAACCACTACGGCACCAGCTTTGTCTCATATGATGACGGTTGCTTGTTTGAGCGGGTTCGCCTTTTGCAAGACTGCCTCGTTTGAAGAAGCGTTGGGCACTCGCCATGTGAGGCAAATACACCATCTCCCATGGAGACTTGGTTCAGGGCAAGTCCACTTGGCTCTTTCGTGCAGCCTGGGGCTATCGCAAGCTGCTGAACTGGGTCTCGCGCCCCGGCAGATGATATGGGCTTGACGGGCAGCCTCCCAAAGCTGCCAATTTTTGTTTGGCACCCTTGGCCATCGCAACGGGAATTCCATCAGCTAGTTGCACGAGCGCTGCCATTGCCAGACCATGTGTAAGAAGCTAACGCGCGATGCTGTGCGACTGAGGCAGAGTTAGTCTGTTGATGCGGGGCGTGAGAAGAAGAGTAACCTGTTGCTAAAGACATGTTGGGGCCTTCATGTGAAGGGTAATCTGTGTGTACAGCTAGGGGGAGGAGCCGCTACTTGTGCGGTTTGGCGGAGAAGGCTTCCTTGCTTGCTGCTGCGCGAGGGGCCAAACCTCAATGGGGCGATCCAGGTTGGCCCCTTTTCCGGACGTACATCCCAGGCCTAGTGCTGCAGCGAGGGATCGCTGCGGGAACGGCTTAGTCAGCGAGGGTGCCACGCTATTTTGCCCTTGGCCTTGCTTCCAAAGCGGGTCGAATGTGGGGCCGGCCTTGCCATGACGCACAAGCTTGTGCTGAGCAGGTTCCCAAACTTCGACCCCTGAGTTCTCCAAAGGGGACGTCGGTTGGCGGTGTCAACCTTGTTGCGGGGCACCCAGGCGGTTCCCTGCGCGCGCGTGCGACAATATGCCCTTGGCCGGCACCGCCAGGCCACGACCTTTGCACCTGCACGTGACCGAAGCGTCAGTTTGTTGAGCGCCGACCCCCCCCCCAACAAAAAAAGAAACAAAACAAACCAGCGCAGGCACTTCCGACGAAACTTTGGAGCCCAGTTGGGCATCAGGGATGCCATGGCGGCGGAACCGAGGAAGACGTGTGGCATGTAGATACCTGGAGCCTTGCTTGGGGTACTCCCCTTTGAAGATTTGACAATTCGACCCCTTGGGCTCGAAAGGGTGCATAACTTCAGTGGCGGTGTGTTCAAAGAGAAAGGCTTCTGGGTCAAGTTGGGTTCGGCAGAAGCCCCACCAGTCTACAAGGGTGTTCGCAGTTTCCGCACCTAGAGGAAGCAGTTTGCAAGGATATGCAAGGATGCTTGCGATGATATTTGCCTGAAAGCCGTGCTTCGCCCTTCTCTCTTCACATCCAATATTTTCCGAGTTGGCAGTGCCCCGTTGGATTTTTCATACCAATGGCCAGTTTTCAGGTTGCATCTTAAGAAGGCTTGTGCGGGCTTGCAGGCCCCCATGCCTTGGCACCCGCAAACTCAGGAATCGCTACGGTGACATCCCCATTTGGGGCACGGAAAGTGGATGGAGTGATGGCTTGGATACCGCGCTGTCCTCGAAGCAGGACAGTGGCCGGATGACATACTATCATTCCTACATCTATGAAATGAACAACGCCATCCACCAGGATGGCGTCAAGCCGCCAGGCTTGAGTTATACTGTTATTCCTCAGCCGCTGCGCTTGAAGATTTGCTCCACTAGTGGGTTGTCAATTTGTTTCGTCGGCCCTGGCTCTTTGACGCTACGACTTAGGATGGAATCGTTCATGTCGTGGTCGTTGATGGCCGCTTAGCTGCATGACCGAAGCATCAGGCTATCGCATTGGCAAGCCCCATTTTTAGGCTTCAGCCGCAAGCGTAAGACAGACCGAGCACAAACACACAGCTACATTTCTGCAACCAAGTGGTGCCGCTGGTGCCTGCATACTCTATACCTGTCTCAGAGAGCAGCATTTGCTAGCCTTCTCGATCGTTTTCAGGATCGTAGCTTTCTTGGAAGCTTGCGTTGCTCATCATCCACCTCAAACATAATGCGTAAGCCAGGCAAGCGCCACTTCAGCGGTTGGTCGAGCAACACTCGTCATCAGTCATGTGATTTGCAGAAGCTCCGGCGAATACGGCGAGGAAGCACTTTTAGGCAGAAAGTTGGCATACGTTATCCCTGTGCTTGGTTTCGAGCGTGTTTTGAGCCGTGCACAAAAACATTTGATTTTTGGATGTCAAATGTGCACTCAGCAAGAGTGCGGTAGGTGTGCTGCCGAGCATGCCAGGAACGAGAAACAGTTTTTGTGATTGCACATTTGATGGTTTTCAGGGCAGTGGCTAAGGATAACTTTGAGTGGGAGATGGGCTATTCCGAGCGGTTTGGCTGCTTGTGGAACGAGTTCCAATGGGGATTGGACCCCAACGCGCCGACGAAAGAGAGCCTCATCCACAATGCTTACTCAGGACGCTGTGGCTGGATTTGGGATTGACCGGGCTTGCAGGATGAAGCAAATGTAGCATCAGGTCCTATGTGAGGCTTAGCACGGCTGGTCAGGCCCCTGGCTCAAGTCATCCGCGTATTAATTGTATAAGTTCAGGGTAGCGGCTAGCGCCGCCTGATGCACTGCATTCACGGCGAGCATGTAGGAATTTCTTGTGCCAGCCAACCAATTTGACATGTAGGTACGCGGTCTACAGCAAGGAGCTCACTTACCAACAAAACCACTCGCAGCCAAGAGCGACAGCGGGCAGTTTACTCCAACTTGTTGAAGTCGCTTCCAGTTTATGTTGGCAGTTGCTCGCCATGTGGGTTACTCCATCTTGAAAAAGTCGCAGCCGCGTGCGTTGCCGTTGTGATTTGGAAGTGCGTGTTGTCTATGGCGCTGAAATGAGGTGCAGCGTAGTTTGATGTACATGTTGTGTGCCGTTGGGATTTGTAGGTCGTGAAACATACAGCTTGATGTCCCCCATGCCATTTGCGGTGTGTCAGGACACAGGGACGGTTTCAGACATCCATCATAAAGCGCAACTTCTAGTTTCGAATCCGGTGCTCAAGGTGCACTTTGGCAGCTCCAGCTTGAAATTAGCGACTTTGCAGTAAACGCGCAACACGCAAAGTGGGGACACGCTAGCGTGGCATCCGTCACTATTATTATTTGTTATTTCTTCTTCTTCTTATCTTTTGGTGTGACTTTTGGCAAACTGTGTGCAAAGCAGTCCAGTTGCACGGTGTGACAAAAGGTGCATAAATTTGAGGGCCTTGGTCGGACACGCGCAAAAGTAAACTCAACGCGTGAACAAACGCTGCGTTCCATGTGGGTTAAAATGGCTCTGCTGCAATGTTGGCTTTTTTTGACTGCACTGGCTTGCGCTGGGCCAGGACGATTGGAGGGCAAGTGTGACAAGTGCGAGGAGCCGAGCGTGAAGCCGCGAGCTGAAAGTGCGGATGGCCAGACTCGGCATATGAAGAGCCATGGCAGAGGAGCTAGGGAGAAGGATTTTGGGAGGACACAAGCAACAGGAAGTCAAATTTGACACCAGGTGGCCGGCCTTTGCCGGCCATACGTAGCCAAGCACATTAAACGCCCTAAGCCGGCCCTGAGCAACTCAGGAACTCCCTTCTGATGCTCATGGCGGTTTGGAAGACCAACACACTGCCCACACCACAGGACTTTGCTGCAGCTGCCTCGGTCCCGTCGATTTGCTTTGGCCATGGCACATACCAGACAGAGATCGGACCGGTCCAGTGCTCTCCAGCCGCTCGGCATGAACTTTAGCCAGCTGTGCATTTCGTGTTCAAAACAATCCCATCCTTCTCCGGCCTTTTGGCTGGCCAATGCCGCGTACCCAAGTCTTTTTTCGTAGTGCTGCGCGGCTCAGGACCCGTTGACTGGGCAGAAGTTCACAGTCCCGGCCTGATTCGCAGATGAGCCCGCAATGCGCAATAGCAGCGGGGATATTGAAATTTTAGGCCCGTTTCGGGCATCTTTAGGCCCCGTAGACGGCCTGTTCAGACAGCACTGGTTTGTCCTTTCTCAGGTCTATTTTCCACACAATTTCATCATGCAAGTTTCTTCCAGCACCAGCCACGTGTAGGACGTGGCTGTCAAAGCCAGAGCTGCAGTCAGGCCCCTAGCTGGGGACAGCCCCTTGACTTTTAAACAGCCTAGACACCTAAGAAAAAGCCTTTTGCCAGCTCAGTCCAAGCTGAAGGGGTCATCCTGACGTGAGTTGCTGAAGGCTACTGGGACGGCCTACCGCGTTGCTATAGCACAGTTGGCAGCCAGTGCTTGCAGCCTGCAATTGTGCGCCCACACCGCTCAAAGCTGAACACTGCGTAGAGGCCCGTGCCCATCAAGAGGAGGTGGGAGCAAGCTCGTTTCAGCCCAGCGGGCTCTCAACCTGACAGCGGAGGAGACAGCGAAGCGAGCAGAAGTGCAAATGACATCCTCTTCACCTGCCGACAGAGCCGCAAGCACAGCGTGCGCGTATGGCACGTCAAGGGTTCACCAGCCCTCAAGCCTCGCACAAGCGCCAGCTCCGAGCCAGCACCCGGTTACGCAGGGCCCAAGGACAGAAATGCGGATGGGTTGATTTGTGTCCCTAGTTGGTCAGGGGTGCAGTCTGTGCCATGGCCTGGGCCTGAGCCGCCAGATGGCGGCAGACAGCGAGGCGCAGATGTTCAGCATCTGAGAGTTTGGACATATGTGGGAATTTTTGCAGATGTGTGGAGATGGAAATTCATTTCCTGTGGCTTGAGTTGCCAGCCCAGGAGCACCGGGACAAAGAGGAGAAGAAGAAGGAGAAAAAGAAGAACAAAGTCACTTAGCCAGCCCACGGTCAGACACCTGCACGATCACTCCTTTTGAACGAGCACCATGCACGGAGCTCGCTGTGCTTTACAGTCAGCGGATCGCCTTAGGAAAAGGAGAAGAGCAAGGATGGCAAGAAGGAAAAGAAGCGGAAAAATGCTGAACCAGAAGGTGGTGATACTGCAGGCAAAAAGAAGAAGGAGGAGGAGATGCTCGCTGGCATCAAGTTTTGCAGGCAAGGGGGGCGCACAGAGCGAGCAAGGCCATCCATCGGGGCCTTGGAGCATTTCTGCTTACCCAAGTTACGGCAAAAAGCTTGGGCGATAGTTACTTCCATTGCCCGAGGGCATGTCTTGCCAACATGGAATTTGACAAATGGGTGTTGCACGACGCTGTCGTTCCACGCGGCATTCAGCCCAGTGACGACTGGGTTGGCAATGGGTTATCCCTGTCGAATGTCACCGGTTCTTCGCATAGGCTCCAAGACCCTGGTGTCGTTTGTGGGCCCAACTGCAGCTACTTTGTGCCTGCGGGTGTGCGACAAACGAACTTGGGTTAGGAAAGAGACATGGAGCCAAGCTTTTGGCACAGAAGGTGAATGCAGCTGGAAGGAGTGAAGAGGGATGAATTCTCTCAGCCACCCTCATCTCGTCCTCCCAAGTTACTTTTTCTACACAACGGTATGCACCGGTCTCCAATTGCAGCGTATGCACGCCTGAGATTCATCTATTTCTGCTCATGGAACATTTTGGAGCCCTCAGACCTGCGCTCAAGGAACACCATGTTAAAGGCATTTAGACAGGCCCAGCTACCACCCGCCAAGGAGCGAGCTGATGGACGTCAAGGTGAAGGACAGCTCCCAATTCTCCCAAGAAAGGTCCCAGAATGTTGACAGCAAAGTCGCAAAGTGAAAGCATTGCAGTACCTGGAGCCTTGTCTCGACTGCAACTGCTTGTTCACAAGTGCGTCCACCATCAGCCTTCGTATGCGAGGCGGTTACGCCTGCCTTCATGGCCTTCAAGCCCGTGCAGGCCTCTCTTGGCGGACTTCGGATTGCATGCCGTGTTATGAAGCACCGCCCGTTCAAAATCCCTGGCTCATTCGCCACAGAAGCCCTTGACATCCACATGCGGCCCAAAACAGCGCGGCCACATCAATTACAGAGTAGGACAGAAGTGTGCGTTGAGAAAATCGCGTGTAGCATATTGCTCGGACTGGGCAGATCTGTATATGGTCAAGCTATAGGTTGGAACATGTCAGGACGATGTGCAGGACACGTATTTTGCGCTGGCTTGATCGAGCTGCAGCTCACGTCATGTCCAAATTGGATAAATCACAACCACACATGTCACACACACACAGACACACGCACGCACGCACGTCAGCCAATGAGTCGTTGGCGCCTGCTAGGTTATACGAAAATCAGGGGCCTCAGAGGCAAGCCAGCCTGAGGCCAAGGTCAAACCGAAAGATACAGAGAAGGAGAAGGAGAAGGAGAAGGACTGCCGCATTTTGTCCGTGAGAGCTTCAAAATGTTTGCTTGGCAGTTGGAGCATCAGGCTGACAGGTGCTTTTGAGGCGGGTTAGTGCTGGAGAGAAGGGCCTGGGGGGAGTAATCTCAGGAAGCCCGACAGTCTGCACTTCGGGGAGTTGGTGATTACATGCCTTCGCACCGCGGCTGGCATGAATGCGTCCGTACGCCTCCAAACCAGTTGCCCTCCAGGACAAAAAGGAAAAGAAGGCCAAAGATGCCAAGGACCAGACGTTCTGTTGTGACGGTTGAGTACAGTTATCACCGGGTGACCTAAACAACTATCTCGCAGCTCATGGGATAGAGATGCAGGTTGGCGAATCCATATGCCTGAAGCCCCTCATGCACTGTGCCACAATTGCAGGTTGAAAGGAGGTGGTGAGAAATCGCAATGCAGACTAGCGGTGCGCAAATTCAGTCCAGAAATCCAGAATGCAGGATGACGGCAAGGCTTCCACTGACTCGGCAAAAGCTGGTGGAGAAGCTTCAGCTTCAGGCACGGCCCGAAGAACGGCTTGGAAGACCTGGTGGCAGTGAGTCGCCGATGCCCACCGCAGGCCGCAAGCGCCTGGACATCGGCAATGTCGATGAGTTCAGGAAGCAGCTGGCAGCACAGAGCAGCTTTGCTAAGACACCAATCACTGACCAACAGCTGCTGAAGAGCTTGTCTCGTTGCGTTGATTCCTTCTGGATTTGCCGCAGCGTTTGCAGGATGCGTTTATCCCCCCATTGCACCAAGGAGATCAGCTCAGGCTTTGGATTATCAAAGCCAAGCAGGACTGGGAAGAGAAGCATGAGCAGAAGGGCCACAGAGGAGAAACCAATGACCAAGAGTTCGGATCCCCAGCTTCTCTTTTACAGCCAGCCTTGCTGCAGTGATTCCATGTGCCCTAGTATTAGTAGCCATTAGCTGCGGCGGAGGTATTACATTGCGTCCACTGGCGAAACTTTGGGCCCTGGCCGCGAGTATTGCGCGGAAGCTAGCATCGGCTGCAAAGCTGAAAAGTTGAGTTCGTGAGGGCCGAGTGTTGGAGTTAGTGAGGGCAAGTCATGCATACAACACTCAACAATGTGTAGATGCCATCACTGTATAGTTTCGTCCGTTGATTTCGAAGACAGATCATTGACAGAGGACGTTGTGGCTTGGTTCTGAGGAAGAGGTGTCTTTTCCAGCGTCTTCCGGTGCAAGCACGTCAGCTCAAAGACGGACTATGCGCTGAAATTTGTCCGGTCGAACAAGATGATGCGCAAAGCAGCTGAGAAAGAGGCACGCTCGCGATGTGTCCCATCCTTTCACTGGCCCATACTCTCCTAAGGGTAGAAGGAAGGTATTCTTTTGCAGCATTTCAAGGTGGAGACCTATCGACGCCTTGCAAAGCTGGCCGCAAAGGAGGATGCGGAGGGCGCGCAATATATCATGCTGCCACGTGGTCGAATGCTTTGCGTAGCAGCCTTGAATTTGTTAAGTCAAGGTTTTTAGTCTTCGAACCGGCCTTTTGCTGCCTCAATTGTTCTCCAAACAGCTGAGCTGTTGAGGTTCTCCCGCCATGGTTTGCTCCTGGTTTGCCTGCTCTCTCCCCGCTTGTCTCCCCGCTTGTCTCCCCAGTTGTCTCCCCAGTTGTCTTTCTGCTTGTGCATGGTGCCTAGTGGCTCAGACCTTGGCAAGCCTTGTCTGCCCACAGGTCTCCCCACTTGTCTGAGCACTTGTGCTTGATGACTCGGACCTCGTCAAGGCCTGTCTCCCCCTTGTCTCCCCGCTCGTCTTGGGGACTCGGACCTTGTCACGGCTTGTTTTCCCGTTTCTCTCTGCTGCCATTCGCACACATTCGCACACGTTTCTCTGCTGCCTCTTGCTTACTGAGGCTCTCTCCGCCAGAGACGTTCGAACACCAAGGCCATTTGCGCCCAGCCTGCAAATTCGAAGCGCTTCAGTGTGTCAATGGCAGGCTTGAGTGGTGTCCAAAGGCCTTGGATTGATGTTTGGAACATGTTGACACGTTGCGCACCTTTTCTGAGGTGTCTAGTCTTTGACCTTCTGAAGTGCGACCTGCGAACTGCGCTCTCAAAGCAGCCTGGTGGTCATCAGCGAGGGCAAGTAAGATGTTTTGCCCATGCACGTCAGTTTGATGACCGCGAGTGTTGCCACTCTGACACGTGCTGACACAATGGGTGTTTGGCTTCAGGTACTCGAATGAAATCTTGCAGAGAGCCATCAGTTCGCCTGCCATATAAGACATCAATAGGAAATTGTTGGCAGCAAGGCAATTAAACAACATGAGTGATCCTTATGAGCTGGAACGCGCGTTTGCTCAGGAGACACCCGGCGCCTACATTAATGCACAGCAATGACATAGTCCATGAAGCCAGCACTCATTGGAGCCGGGCGGGGAGTCCTTAGCGCCCAGGTATGGTCAAGGCAAGGGCCTTCCGTTGCAGACAGTGGCGCAGTATGCCAGGCTTGGATTTGCCGTTTGAGGGAGTCAGACAAGATTCACGAGTCCCTTACACATGTGTGGTTGTTGCTGAAGTCGCATGCAATCTGGACACATGACAGGCAACATATTCAGGTTATATATTGGCCACCCAAGTGCAAAGTGCGACGCAAGGGTTCCAGTTGCGCAAGGCAAATCTTCCTGGCCCTTCGCTGTTTAAGAAAGATCAAGCTCATCCATGGTCTGGCTCTCAGGGGTGTTTACACTGCAGGGTCTGCTGCAATCTGCAGGTTGCCCGCAGCTCATGCTGCGAATTCAAAGTGGGGCAGAGTCACTCCGGGCCTGTCAAAGCAAGGGGGCCTGGGCTATGGGACGCTTGACCCCATCGGACCCTGTGCCCACAAAGTTCCTCGGTGTGTGGCCAAGGTGATCTGAAGCCGGATAACGCGCCCCTGCTTCCAGCAATGATTTGAGAGCCAGAAACTGCTTTGAGACCGCATGAGCGCATGAGAATCAGCACGGGTCCTTCACGACGGGTGTGTTTCAGGTGCTTATGACCTTGAGCAAGACAGAGATCAAGCTTTGCGACTTTGGCTCAGCCATGGACGTGGGCGAAGCAGTGAAGACTGCGTATTTGCAGCCTCGGTTCTACCGAGCGCCTGAAGTCATCCTTGGCACTGGGCGCCCTGGCCGCGAGGGTTGGCACAGTCGCGCACTTTTTCGTGCAGTACAAGCGTGCAACCTGCCTTTGACTGGGTGACAAGTCGTTGGCTTGTGTTGGGTGCCGCCAATTGCAGAGAGGTTTGCAGGCACCGTGGCCAGGTATGATACACAGATTGACCTTTGGAGCTTGGGCGTGACGCTGTTCGAACTGGCCAGCGGCAAAATCCTCTTCACGGGCAAGACGTCTCTTGTCCAATCGACTGTACTTTCCCCTGTGTGAAAACGTATTCACCGTCGCGAGAGCGAACTTGCACATCAAGAGTTACCTGCTAGACGTTGCCAGATCCAAGGAACAACTCCATGATTCGTCAGATGTTGGAGGCGCAACATAGCTTTCAGAGCTTGGTAAACATCCATGATCCTGCCGGTTGCTTGAAGGCATCTAGGCCAGAACATGGCCAGAACAGGTCGGTTCCGATGTTGAGAACGCAAGTTCATCCTCCCTCCGAGAAACGAGTTGGCGGAAATTGATGCGCAACAGTTTCTTGATCACCAATGGGCTGTGAACGGGATTAACAAACGAGTTCAAGGTCCTCAAGTTGCGTAGGGAGGTGACTGCGTTGCTTGTGCTCTGGTCTTGCGCTGTGGGAAGGTGTCCGGTGCCTTCTCGAAGAAGATGGCCACGAGTGGTGAATTTTCGGCAAAGCACTTTAACTCTGAAGGCGCCTTGCCTGGCTGCCAGTGTGCCTGGGCCATGTGCCATAGCAGGATGAAAGCAAACTGTCTTGGCAGGCGAGTTTCTCCTGAAGGATCCAGACTCAATCACGGGAATTCGCCTCTTGATCGACTTGCTTTGTCGGATGGACGACCGAGCGTTGCTGCATGTGCAACTTACCAGCTTGTGTGGCGCAAGGACATCACACGGCTTTCATCTCCACAGCACTAATTTGTTGCAAACCTTCCTGTGAGTTGCCTGAGCCCAGCCAGCAGGGAAGAAACATAGGAGCAGTTGGCCCTTCTCAGCCTGAGTAAGTTGCACTACGCAGCTCAAAACCAGGCAGTTAATTGCACACGGCATGTGTTGCTGGCATCCTGTGCCAAGGAGATGTCTTCCCGATGAAGAAGTATGAGAAACCGAGACAGCCAGCCACTTGGCTGAAATATGTTCCTGCTACTTGTGCCCCATGACTCATTTACAAGCCCTACATTCAAAGCTTTTTGAGCCCGCACTGCGCACAAAACCTCCTTGAAATGTTGCGAGCCAGCTGATACACCCTGGATGGCAACAAGCTTGGCAATAGACGAAGCCAGCTTGACGGAACCTCGTAGAAGTGCTCTGAATCGTCGTGCAGGTGAGCGGGATGCTGGAGCAAATCTTCAAGAATCCTCCGCCAAACTCGGTGCTCGGCTTGAATGTAGAGAACGTGTGAGAACTGCAAGTTGTGCATCGCCAATCCGATCAGCACTGTTCTCATATATTCGGCGAAGACCCTCCAACAGATTCCGGCATGTCCCAGATTAAACTTGAGCAACTCATCGATCCCGTCCCAGCGCTTCCCCAGGACCCAAAGACACAGGAGAGGCTCATGCCTCGCTTGGCTGACCTCGTGTCAAAGCTGCTCCGCGTGGAGCCAGCAGAAACTATAGCCGCACAGTAGCAGTTGTTTTGAGGCATTCAGTGGGTTGTTGTTGTCTGTCTTCTGGTGTCGCTGTGGTCGCCCCATTGTTTCTGCTTGGGGCTGGCCCTCTCTCTTTTCATCGATGTTGTCACAACTTTCCCTGCATGCCATTCCCGGCGCGTACTGGCGTTTTTTCCAGCTCTGGCACACCTGCCGGGACTAGCTGCAACACGCAGCAAGCAGCCCCCAGGATCGCTTCACGCCCGAGCTCGCATTGGCTCATCCCTTCTTCCAGAAGGACAAGTGAAGCCAGCGAGACGGCTTTGCAAGGCACCCAGTGCTGTCACCTGTTCGCTGCGGCGTATGATGCTATAACATAACTGCGGCGCAACATGTGAAGCAAGACTGTCAACATGAGTGTGATTGCTTTCGCTTCAGTTAGGAAAACGGCCAGAATTTGACACTCTGCTTGGAGCCAACGTGCGACATTGTGCTGGGGACTTCTGGACTGCTGGCGCGGTGCATGCCAAGGCCAAACTGAGGCTGTGAGGCTAGAAGGCCCTGGGTCCAGCCAGCCTAGCTCAGATAATTCACCCTTCAGGGCAGCCTGCCTTCCGCATTAGCTGTCAACAGCCCGATCAAACTTTTTCCAACCAGACACGGCGTGTTTTTGTCCATGCTGGTTGGCACTTGTGCCATTTAAAAGGTTTGGTGGGGCCTGCACTAACGCAGCTGGCACCGTCAGCATCCCCAGTGCCCAGTGCTCCGGACAAAAGGGGACCGCAGGGTTGGGTTGACAGCTTAAGGACAAGTGACTGTGGCCAAAAGTAGGCACCAGGGTTTAACATTGAAAGTAATTAAGTAAAGACGGTGTAAAATGCTCAACTAAAAACGCTCAATCAAGTGTGTATGTGTGTGTGTGTGCGCGGTTTTAAGACACCGTTCCTGTTCCAGGGTCGTGGACATTTGTCGTGATGCCAGTCTGCACGTGCTTCGGGTTTTGAGCCGGACCACTCATCCTGACTTGTTTTGCAAAAGCCTCCCAGCCAATGTTGGTGGTGATGCCCAGCTCATGGCTGGGTAAGTTCGTTCAGTGTTTGCTTGTGGAGGGTTGGGTGGCATTGGTTCTTCTGACAAACAAGTAGGACTATGAATCAGATTGGGGATCTCCAAGCATCGCAGGAGGTTTGAAACTTGTTCACTTTGAAAGAGAAGCTTCAGAAATTTTGTGCGGCAAGCAGAGCCACCAAAGCTGAAGGAGGAATTGGTTGGCTTGAGTTTGATGTGTCACTGCGGGTGGCGCGGTGGTATTTACAAATCAGTCTCGTGCTCGAGCTCATCCATCGCGTTGCCCAGGAACAGCAGCAGCGTGCCTGGGGCAAGTCGAAGGACACCAGGCCTTAGACTGCTGATTTCTTTGGCCTAGGCAAAGCCAGGGTGAAACAGAGGCTGTAACAGAGGCACATGGCCTTGTTGGGGATCAAATGACACACTGGAATCCGTTCTGGCAATCGCGCCATGAGAAGCGCGCGAAATCCTTGGATTCAGATATGCCTATGATCGATGATGCCAGGCGTCAATCCCATGGCCGTGTCATCACAGTGCGGGGCCCCGGCCAGATTCTGTAATTTGTGAGGTAAGGAGTCCTCGTTTGGGCCAGGTTAAGGGCTGAGCTGCATGCGATGCTTCGCTGGGGAGAGCAATCGGTTCGCTTCGATTTATTGTCACGTTTGTCGGGGTCACCAGCCCTGCCTCGCAAGGAGCAAGTCCATGACGGCGCTACTGGCTGCTCGGCGTGACATGTAGCCTGAAACCATTGGGGCATCCGGCTGTTCAAACATCGGTTCCCTGACCAGACAATGAAACTACTTCACAACCACGTTTGGGGGCCATTTCTGGCACAAGAGCGCGGCCACTTCTCATGGCTGTCCTTGTGTTCATCCCAGGCACCTTGGGCTGGGAAAGGCTTCCTTGACAGCCTGTGCGGTGCTCGGAGCTGACACGAGTTCGAAGGTCAAAGCCAATGCGACGCATAATGTTCATACGATTGGCCAATCCACAAGGTAGGCATGTTCATCTCTTCAGCACTATCGCCTGGCCGCGAAGAATCCGCGCCCAATATTGTTTCATGTTGTTGCATAAAGCTTTCTTATTTGAGTTTTTTGGTGGGCCCCGGTCTTTGAAGCAAACAAACCACTGGACAAGGACGCACCATTAGCAGGGGTTTTATGGAATTGCCGGTTGTCCCAGCAACTCCCCTCATCTCCTGAATCTTCTTGAAAATCGTATCCCCGGCTACTTTGGCTGTGGAACAGTTTCCGGACGGTCGGGTTGGGGCAAAACTATGATGATACTGATTAGCAAAGGCTTCCCTCACACCCAGGCATATTGAAGATGGCAAAACTGTTTCCTGCAAGAACCCGAAGACGTGGGAGAGCAACCCGTTGGATCCACGAAAATGAAACGTCAATCTGACGGATGCCTGCACTGTCTTGTATTGAAATCGCTACGCGATCCGCCGACGCCAGTGGACAGTCCCCTATTAATAAACTGGGGCTGATGTCATGTGGGGCTCTTAACGCCTGGAAGACAAACAACGCCGCTCTGACGTCGGCTGCAGAGTGCCTTGAATTTTTGGTAAGGAAAAGTACTATTTTTTTTGCCTAGGTCAAGTGGGGCGCTTAGCGCGTGGAAGGAGAACGCACACAACGCCCCTCTGACGTCGGCTGCAGGGTGCCTCGAATTTGGGGCCGGGAGCAAGACGTCTTTTTGCCTAGGTCATATGGGGCTCTACAAGTGAAAAGTAGAGTAAACGACGCCCCTCTGAACCTCAAGTTTGGGGTGAGGAAAGCGTTTTTTTCCTAGGTCACATGAGCTGTTTAACGCCTGGAAGGCGAACAGGCAACGCCCCGGCGGAAGGAGAACAAACAACGCTCCTCTCAGATGCCCTGAATTTGGGGCAAGGATAAAAGCGTCATGGGGCTCTTAACACATGGAAGGAGAGGGTGCCTCGAATGTGGGGTGAAGAAAAAGACGTCTTTTTGCCTAGGTCATATGGGGCTCTTTACAAGTGAAGAGAGACCAAGCGACGCTGCTCTGAGGTCGGTACCTCAAGTTTGGGGTCAGGAAGCAGACGTCTTTTTGCCTAGGTCACATGGGTCTCTTAACGCCTGGAAGGAGAACAAGCAACGCCCCAGTAAAAGGAGAACAACGCCTCTCTAAGGTGCCCTGAATTTGGGGCAAGGAAAAAAGACGAGTTTTTGCTCAGGTCACACGGGGCTCTTAACACGCGGGAGGCGAATTTGAGCAGGAAAAAAGACGTTTTTTGGCCTAGGTCATATGGGGCTCTTAACAAGTGAGTCGGCTGCAGGGTACCACCTCAAGTTTGGGGTCAGGAAAAAGACGTTTTTTTTGCCCAGGTCACATGGGTCTCTTAACACCTGGAAGGAGAACAAGCAACGCCCCTGTGGAAGGAGAACAAGCCACGCACCTTTGAGGTGCCTTCAATTTGGGGTAAGGAAAAAGACGTTTTTTTGCCTTGGTCACATGGGGCTCTTAACACGTGGAAGGAGAGGGCTCGAATTTGAGGGAAGGAAAAGATGTTTTTTGCCTGGTCACTTGGGGCTCTTAACGAGAATGCAAAAAACTCCACTCTGAGGTCGGCAGCAGGGCTGAACACTTGACAGGAGAAGAACACTAGGGTCTACTCTTGTAAACCATCCCCCGAAAGGGTATTAAAGCAAGGCCCCATGTTTTGTAAGTACAACAAGGCCTTCTAGTTTTCATGTCCCAGTGCTCAGGATGCTGGAAATGCAAGGGATGCAACCACACAACTTACAGGAACAGACCTAATCTTCGAGCACCAAGATTTTCAACAATGAGTGTTTTTTGCAATTCCCCACCTGTACGGAGCAGTTACTGCGAAACATCCCCTGCATTGTCGTGCTTTTGACAGTCTATTTTTAGGGTATTTGAGGGGGCTTGCTAGTATCGGTTTTTGATGGTTGCTTTTGGGAAATATCGAAAAACATGTTTTTCCGCACTTTTTCCCCCACATGTCTGGTATTTTCTGTGTTTGGTCAATGTTGCGTGTCTGAAAGCCTTCAAATTTCAACAGTTCCTCAAAGTATCACTGCGCTTGGCCCCACCCAAACCCCTAACAGAAACAGCAAAACACGACTGGTATCTGCAAAACAAAGAGACAAATTCATGGCAATAAGGCAATCCTGATGATGCTGGGGATGCAGATCTTGCAACATCCGGGGGAAGCCCCCCGCGTAGAGACCTAGGCGAAACGCAGATTTTTAGCACGAAAGACCAAAAAAACACTGGAAACATGCAGGTTTTGGACACCTAGCACAGCATGCCCTGAAAATAACAGTCCCAAAAACCTTCGGCTTTGATAAGAGATTTCCAAGGAAGACTAAGTTGCGGACTGCCATCTACACGCTCGACTGGCGTCGGCGGATTTTTCGAACGCAAGCGAAGGGTTCCTGTTGTTGAACGGGTCTTGGGAGCGTGTTTGCGAGGTGTCAGTGCGGCCACCGTTCGCAGTCATGTGAAACACGTTGCCGTGCCGTTAGGATTCCTGCAAAACGCAACGTTTTCAAATCTTCCAGGAGAAAGGCGCAGCCCCCCAAAGAATGTTGAGTTAGTGGCAAGTGACGAAAGACATGACAGGAGATGTGTCAGATTGCTTTAGTCGGGGCGGCCATGGGTCTGATTCGGCGTTCAAGGTCAGGGAGGTTACGCTGGCTGCACATGTTGCATAGATTGATTTGCATCAATTTTGTCATTGACCGCGAGGTCCACGCTGACCAACTGGCACCACACCTAGTGCAGGCAAGAGAAGAAGCCAAACGGAGATGAGTGCGGCTTGAAGGCGATAGGAAAGCTACTTTAGCGGCGTCTGGGTGAGTTGGACTTTTTTTTTATCGTAAGAGCGCGGTATTGAAGATATCGGAAGCTTGTCCTTTTGGAAGCCAGCTTGGAGGGCATCGCTTAGGTTCAGCTACGAGCCGCCATTGCAGCAGCCGGCATCAGCCTCATCCTCAAAGTGTGCATTTGCAGGCGCAGGCTCAGTGCCAGGCCAAGCATTCGCACCAGACACTTCAACATAGTATTCGAGGTTTAACATTGATAATCCTTCTTTTTTTGGTGCACTGCCTGGCAAGGCTTTGGCCTCATTCGTTGCGTGCTGAGAACACCCACCTGCGTATTTTGTTGTTGTTGTTTTTGGTGACAAGTCCATGCTGGAACCGGTGGGTTTTTTTTTTGGCCCCGGCTCGGGGCTTAACCCCGGCTCGGAGACTGGTTGGTTGGTCGGTTGGTTGGATGGTTGGTTGGTTGGGTGGTCAGCTGGGCGGCCGCATCCCCAGCATCCCCAGCATTACCGGTTTCTTGTCACGGCTGCATATGGGGGCATGACTTGATGCTCGGGATAGCCGGCCGCATCGGGAGGATTACTGGCCTCACTCGGACGAGAGCTGCCTGTTGGCTTTGATTTGGTGGCAGTTGTCAGGGTTGATCGGGGCTGGTGCAACGCCCCACAACCAATCCTAGCCCAAAACTTGCAGAACCACATCCCTGAAGCAACCCGAGAGCCATGGCTAAACCAGCCGCACATCTAGCACGAATCAACCCCAACCACCCAACCGCATCCTGCATATCGGCCCTTTGCCGAGGCTAAATGATCCCCAAACAAACACCCAAGACCCGCCCGCAGTAATGCCATCAAATCAAAGCCAATAGGCAGCTCTCGTCCGAGTGAGGCCAGTAATGCTGGCGATGCGGCCGGCTATCCCGAGCATCAAGTCATGCCCAATACGCAGCCGTGACAAGAAACCGGTAATGCTGGCGATGCGGCCACCAACCCCCAGCCCAACCTCTTTGGAGGGAGGCTCTGTGCCGAGACGGGGCTAGTAAAAAGCCGGGGCAAGTAAAAAACACAAACCTCAACCGTCCATGCCTTGCAAGCCTACAAAGCCATGGCTTGAGCATCCCTGTATTCACAAAAAATCACTGCTCGACCAGCTAGATTGACGGCTCTTGAACACAACGCCGGTTGGATAGTTGTGCGCCTCTTCAAGGCAGTGCCACTGTGAGGCGGGGTTTTGCATGCTGGTCATTTAGCTCTCAGGTGGCAACGCCAAGCACATCCCCATTAGTGCGCTGCAAGCCTTCTGTGCCGCCACCACCACCAGAAGTGCCGGAGGGCAAGTTTTCGCCTACTGCGGCCTTGTCACCACCGCGGCTGCGCCATGTCAGAGCAAAGCCGTGGGGGGAAATGGGACATGTGTGAGTAACTCAATCGCAGTGTTTGCCTCAGGCCAATTGTTTGGGGCAAGAGCTCGTTCAAACTCAAAAATTCAATGGCACAACGCATGGAACCTGTCACAAATCAGCCGCATTGCCTGCACTCAACTAGGCAGACCAGCGGCCCCGTGAAGCAGCCGCTCAGCCCACACAAGACGGAGCTGCGTCCACCTTCGTCCCCGTCTCCCCACCAGCAATTCCGCGGCCTGGGCCATCCGGTCCTGGGACACCCTGTGGGGCAGCCAGTCTTTGGACAGCCGGTCCTGGGGCAGCCGCTGCCATCCGAATCCAAGAGCTACGTGCCTGTGAACTACTTCGCTCCACTTGAGAGGCAACCTGCCTATCGCCCCAGGCAGGGCACGACAGGTTGCCCACAACGTTCTGACCTGCTTCGCAGGCCGGCAACTGCGCCGGAGCCACATTTCCCATATCGACCTGCGCGGCCTTGGCCCCAGTGAGCTGGGTTCGTGAAGTTGATGCCGGCCTCTTGAAGTTGGCACGGTTGCAATGTGAGAGGCGAAAGATTGCAAAAAGGCAACATATTATAGGATTCGTGATGTTTTCTCACATCCTTTGTGCTTCACGCATGCACGCTGCTTCATGCCCGTCAATTGTTCAACTTCCAGTGCAAGAGGGTCGCTGCCAGCAGAGGCTTCCGCAACCATCGCCCATGTCTGGTTGGCGCGCTAGACCCACAGATGGAGATGGGGGGTGAGTGGGCTTGATGGGCTCGTTTGATGCTTAAGCAAAGTTGAGAATTCAGTCCAAACTCACAGACAGTTTTATTCAGCTGAACTTTAAGAAACATAATTTATATTTCACCCTTGAAATTAGCAAAAAGTCGAGTGTGAGCCAAGAGAGAGCAATCCTGGAAATTGGATTCAGCACGCAAGCAAGCACCCAGGTGGCGGAGCAGCCGATGATAGCCCCCGCCTTCGCAATGCAACCTCGACAGCAGGTTCAGCATGGGCGAGGGACTCAGCGATACTTCTCAAAGCTAGGCAGACAGCTGCCCTTGCTATGTGTCACACCTTGCTTTCTGCGTGCAAATGGGGGCAACCATGAAGTATGAATGGTTGGCCCAGATTAGCAAAGGGCCCTTCCGTCCTTGTTGGCTCCTTCTGGGCAATACTTTATATATAAATGGCAACATCCGTTTATGGTTTCGAGGCCAAGTTTGGGCCCTGACCAATTGCGGAGCTGGCCTCCAAGGAGCCTTCCCCTTTATGAGGTTGAACGCCTTGTCGTTTTAAACAAACTTTAGAGAAAAACACATCTTGGGGGAAGCACATTTTTTGGCAAAACTTGAGGTTTATTAGTGGCTTAGTATTGGTGGGTTTAAGCGCGGACCAAGCAAATACTAAGCAACAAGGAAAGCCCCTTTGCTCTCAGGTTTTTGTCTTGCGGGGTACCGTTAATTGGGGGGGGATACAAACCTTTCACTGACATTTGTTGAGCGTGGATGTCGGCTCAGCACACACAGGCTGGTCCAAGAGCACTACCACCACCAGGCGGGGTATGAGTGGTGAAGCGAGTTGGACTTCCCAGGCAAAACCAGCCCCGAATTGTGTCCGGGGGCCGGGGGTATGATTTTGTCTACTTGTGCACCATGCTTGTTGCTGGAGAGTGCTTCCAGAACCCACCCTGTATAGAATTGGGATCTGTGTGTTCGCTTTGTTGATTTTATTTTGGGGGATTGCCAGAAAGGCAAAAATGGAATGCGAAGCTTGCACAATTGTCCGAATCGGAAACTGAGCTTCAGCGGGAAACCGCTTCCCAAGTCAAGGGTCGTTATCTCCCCGCTCCATGTATGAAAATGAATGAGGGTGCTTGTTATCCTGGCAAGGCCTGGCAAACATCGCGAGGCCAACGTGTCATGCATGCTGCTCAGGCAGTTGAATTTTATAGTTGTCGTGCTGAGCCACGGACGGGTCAAGCCTTGCTAACTTCGGGATGCGAGCCATCAGCTTAGAATCTTTCAATGGTACATCGGCCAGCTGCCTAAGGACTGGCGGTGACACGCTCTTGCGGAAGAGCCTCTGAGCGAACGCGGACGGATGCGAGGGAGCGCTGTAGTTCTAGGTTTGTGAACATCGACCCGTGCAGCTCCAGTGCTAGGCTCGCCGCTAAATGCCCTTACAATGCCCTTTGCATGCAAAGCCCAGGTTCAAAAGAAGCCTGGCATCCATAGTGCATCAGAAAAGAATCCTGCTGCAGCATGCTCAACGGCAATCCAGAGTGCATGGGCAGGCCAGCCAATTGGGATGATTGGGCCAACTCGACAACAGACAGCTTGTTGCACGAATGCCTGGCACTTTTCTGTGCGATTTGGCTTTAAGCTGGCTGAATGTGTTTCACACATACACATGAGCTCCAACAAAAAGATTCCTTAACTTTTCAGCAACCAAGGGATGAGCTTGTTTTGGATTAGAAGTGAGCGTGCGCAACAGCCCGACCAAATTGCATCTCAGAACTTCTCAGGGTGCATGGCGAGCCTCGGTCGGCGTCGGCCGTTTTTTCAACCTGGCCGCCTGGGCCCTGCAGGGAGCGCACCTCGAGCGCCATGAGATATGGCAGATACCACTTCCCACGTGCCGACAGAGACCTCTGGGTCCACGGCGGTGACAGGGCCGCAGCAAGAACCAACGCCAAGCCTCCGCTTCGTCATCAAATGTGAAAGCAGCCTCCAGCTTTGGACTGACTCGGGATACGCACGCGCAAATTTTTCACAAGGGTTTGGAGGAGGTGTTCAGACCCCCAACCAGTCCTGACAGCAGATTGTACACGGTGGCATCGAGGCCCTCAATAGATTGGTAGTCCCGCAGCAGGCAACCTAGGACCTCTTCCCATGACTCCGCTGCCTCAGGCGAGCCGCAAGCTCACCAGGACTTTCTCCCGCCATGATGCTGGGAGTTTGGGACGGGCAACTTGCAAAACCGTGATGAAAAGTGCATGTCGGCGCTTTCGTATGCTGAGCTTGCTTCGAAGCACGGGAGGCGCTATAATGAATGAACCTCCAAAAGCGATAATCCCAAACGTCATTCGGAACTAGCTTCCAGGTTGAATAGCAAAGCTTTTGGTTGCACAGGGAGCTTTTCGCCCACCCGCAATGATGGGCAGAATGATGCGTAACAATAACCATTTCCGAAGGCCGAGCGCCTGCACTGGGACCTTGCCCATTTCTGGAGCAGTTCGCAGCAACGACGTCTTGAACGAGTGTGTGTAGCGTGACAATGCATGGCCAGTTGTATTGAACGCTGCAATAGCAATATAGCAAAGCCACAGAAGCAACTTTCTTCCGCAATGCGTGTCCTATCAGTTTTGCCGGTCATTAAATGCTGAAATTCCGTGACAGACGTCCCTTTCAGTGCCGGGGGTGGCGTGTGGTGAATGCTGATGAAATCCATGCTGTGAATGTAGTTGGTTGGCCTTGGAAGTTGTTTTCGGCCTGACTGGACTGCCGCACTTGCCTGCTGGGACTTTCGGCCTGGCAGGAAGCCCACTCACTTCTCCGTTGTGGATGTGACTTGTCCAAATCAGCTTTTTGCAAGTGAGCAGTGAATTTCAGATGCACAACACGTGGTGGTCCTTCTTGTCAGGCAGTCCGAATTGATGCCGAAACTCTGCGGAGCAGACGCGCGTACCTTGAACGCATTATGACCCTGTCCATTGTGGGAGCTTAGCCGGCCGCAGCCTTGCTCTGGCCATTTGGGGTGAGGGGCCATCCTCAATTCTAATTAATTAACTGTCCCTCAGCCAGCTGCGTTGCATGTCGCTTCAGGCATTGGATCGCGGAAACGCCAGCAAAACTGGATTGCCGATCTCGGGCTGCCGTGGTGGTGGAAGCTTGGCAATCCAAGAAGTGATTGTTTGGATGACTTTTGCAAGCCTTAAGATCAGCTTGCTGCACAAGTGGCCCATGAGCTGTTTCGGCCATGTTGATGATTCTTTCTGGCAAAGTGCCGGAAAGAGGGCTTTAGTGACGCACCTATTCTTGCTCAGGACTCTGGCTGGTGGGAGATAGTGGTCACACTTGCGATTTGCTGCGACTTGGGTGTCACGGTTGCACAAGCTGCCGACGACACTGCGCTAATGTGGGGAGTGATTAGTAAGGGCCTCCCCTCAAACCAAATTGAGGGGTCAAAGGAAAACGTCAAAGCAAATTGGGGGTCAGAGTTGTGCCTACTCAAGGATTATGAGCGTACTGGTTCAGAATTGTTTTGGTATTTGACCTGGGCCAGGATTGTTTAGAATTGGTCGAGGATGTGAATATTCCTCGGTAGCCAGATTTTTCTCTTCTCTATTTGCCTCGCCTTCAACACGTAGTATTGTTAATTTCTCGGCGCTTCCCTGTACCACCTGCTTGGAAATACGTCTGAACGGCTGTGTTTGTAAACGGTGTCAAAAAGATTTGCTTTTTTGGGCCTCAGTTGGTGTTGCTGGCTCAGTTTGGCAATGCAGGGCTTTGGATTATGTTGTTTCTATTCGCCATATTTTTCCACACCGCGAGGAAAGACGCTTCTGTATTTCCCCCAACTTTGATGATGGTATTTTTTTCTGTATTGCCTCCCGATTTACTACTCGGAAACGGGCTGATGTCAAAGAACTAAAACCAGTTTTAAGAATAATAAACACTTGTTTCCAGTCTCTACCTTACTACTCGTCACCCGACATCACTGAGCTGTTCATTTTCATGCTTGGCGTTGTCCAAGGAGATGTAGAGATGTGATGTTGTTCAACCACCAGTTCGTGTCTTTTCTTGCTGATTTGCATGCTGTTCTCATTGGTTTGCTTTGCCCTGCATGGCGCGGGATGAAGGCGGGGGTGGGCTGAATAGAGCTGTGTGACATTCAACTGGTACCACACTGTAGTTTTCTGATAGCTCTAAACAAGTACTGTACTCTTCTGGAGCTCAGGTCTGACGATTGCCAGCTTCCTGCTTTCTGCCGAAGAAGCCGACTCTTTCGAGCTTTTTCTTGCAGGTGCGGTGCCTGTTACGCCGCTTTTTGCTCGCTTTGTTGGATGGTTTTGAGGTTGATGTTGCTAATGCGGGGAGATGCAGTGGGTGCCTGGGTAGTTTACTTGCGACGTTTCTGGGAAGGCTGCGGAAAGGAGTGTGGAAGCGCAAAAGCTTGACGAGGCATGCAGATTGCATGTTGCGGAATGTGTTGTTCCCCGTGCTGAGCGGGAAGATACGCTTTCGCGAGCATTGCCCTGCCTAGATGGCAGCTGGCATTTATTTTGGGTAGGATGTTATGGGCGGGTTTGCGCTTTGCAGAGCTTCGCTGAAGGACTTGGATTCCACGCTTCATGTTTTTCATTAATTAGTCGTGAAGATAAAACGAAGGACCCCAAGAAGAAGGTTTAGTTGTGAAAGCTCAGGGCAGCAGAGCCTTCCATCGCTCAGGCGGCGGCGTGCTGATATTTCTCCTCCTGGATGTAGCTCTTCGCATTGTGAAAGATCGGCTTGCATTTTTCCTGGTGGCGTTGAACTGGACGCTTGCCAAGCAAAAGCACTCATTGCCAAAGGGGCGTGACGTGGATTTCAGGGGACCGGGGGGGGGGCCCGGCTTGACGGGCAAGCTGAGCCTAGGATTGAGTTCGTGGTGGCCATGGCCGGACTTGTCACAGTCCTGATTGAGGCCATGGCATCAACGAATGCTCTTGGGATCACATGTCCAACAGCCAAACCTAAGAGGTTGCGTGCAAAAAGCCATATGAATTACGGTGCTCAGGCTTACTTCCTAGTGAAAAAAGGGTCTCACATGCATTTCGCAGCTGCTGTTCTTCAGGAGTCTTTTTCCCACCCGCATGCGAATAGTACTCCTTACGGCAGAACCTGTTCAAAGACCTGCTTGACTTTGGAGATTCGGCGGAGATTGCCTTCTGCCTGACAGTCCTACAGCATGCCAATCCAACTCGGATGTTTTTCCGAAGTGGTCCTCAAGGCGAAATGGGGAGGACTAGGCCATTTGCGTTCTGGATGGACAACGAACATGGGTGGTGGGCGTTGAATTTGGCAGCGCACAATTTCGAAAAACCGCCAGGTAGAAGAGCGGCTTTCGGCGGGCTCCACAGGGCCCAAGCAACCTGGAGCTTCTCTGGGACGGACGATTCGTGCAGGGCCCAGGGCATCCGCAGCACACCCCTCGGATCACGTTTGCTCACCGGCGACATGTTGTACAGCATTGATTTCATTTCAGGCCCCTTGAGTTGACTATCGCATGTTGCGGTGGTGGTAGTGGCGGTACGGTTCCTGGCTTGTTTCTGTGAATTCTGCCATTTCGGTTTGCTGAAAGCTCTCCTGAAGGCTTTCTTCCATTTTGCGTGGAGAATGAATTGCATGGCTCCGATCGAGCAGCGCAATTTCAAGCTGAGGACCGGTGCTGCGAGTGCATCGGGCTCAGAAAGTGGTGGCTCAAGTTTGGCAGCTTTTGATGGCCTTTGCTTCGCATATTTCTACTTGCCGAGGTTCCGAGTCTTTCGGGGGTTCTTCACCTTCTTCGCCTCCAGAGGCTGAAGGGGTTGAGGTCCAATGATCTACGCAGTGCAGCACTTGACACATCGAGAGGCTCTCCATGTACCACATCAGAACTAGAATCGCTGCGAAGGTGGCATCCAGGGCCGTATCAACAAGGGCGTGGACAAGCTGTTCGACCACTTAGTGAGGACATGATGACGGGCAAAGCAAATGACGAACCTTGCATTCCTGGTTTGCATCAGGAAGCAACTGGTAGAATTCCTACTCATGCCGTCGGACAACATGACCATCCAGCCCTCTCAAGGCAGGCTGTAAAATACCTTGAGGCAGTCGCTCAGGCACCACACTCATGTGAGGCATGCATCTTCAATGCGATTGAATTCTTTGCCAGATGCCTGCTTGCGTGCGTGCGGGTGTGCGTGCGTGCACGGGTGTCTTGCGCATCTTGCGTGAGCGAGCTGGGGCGGGGCGGGGGGGGGGGGGGATGTTGCAAGCGTGAAGCAGCGAGTCATCAGGAATCTTGCACTTGGAGAAGGCACAAATTAGATCTTCGAGGTTACGCGGCAGCAGCACGTTGCATTTGCAGCTGAGAGGCACGAACGGCGTGGTTTTTCAATCCTTCCGGGAACAAAATGCAAAAGCGATAGACATAACTTTGAGCTCTTCGTGCATCTCATGTCATTAGTGCGAACTTGGGCCCAATCAAATTGCGGTAACAATATGTGAAAAGCATTTGAGCGCTCAGCTTACGAAGTCCGTCACAGCGAGCCGTGGAAAGGCTGACCAACATGCATATGCCGCTGCTCCTCTTAGCGGGCATCTTTGACATGGTGCACTTTGAGCTCAAACTTGGCAAGTTAAAGGTGCCGTTCTCAAGCCATCAGGGCACACCAGGTATGGCAGGTATGGCTAGGACATCAGCCGCATCGGCGCCTGTCTGCGTTTCCCAGGTCGGTGCCCACCGCCTCATGATTTTTATGCAAAACGTCATCCTGGTCCTTGGCCCGGGCCGCAGCGAGGCAGGCAAGCGTAGACCTCAACAGCCGCAATGTTGCACGTTGTACGCGGAAGGAGCGGTCTGCAGACTGGAACTACGCAGATGTGAAGGAGGCAAAAACCAAAACCATCCGCTTAGCCGCCAAGCTTCTGGAGGGCTTTGCAGCTTGGATGAATTGGGTGACTTTGTCAACGCTCGATTTCCAGCAGTTTCTTCTGTGGCGAAGCCTGAGGCAAAGCCGCGGAAGCCCAACGGCGAGGCGAAGGAGGGAGCGGCAGCCTCCGTGCGCCGGGAGAAACAGGCGGGGCGGCAGAGGGCTCCAATCCGACTCGCTGGGCGCAAAACATGCAATGCAATAGCCGTTAAGCAGTCGAAGCAACTTGATTTCTGAAGCAGCTGCAGCGATAGTGGGAGAAGACAATTATATAGTTGGCCAAAAACACAAATATGCACAAACACCAATTTTCCCGCCGAGATGTGCAGGCGGGCTCTAGCTGGGTACGACGGAAGATGGCAAAGTTGCTGAGGGACATCCTCAACAACGGCAGCTTGCATGCGAAATATCTCCATGTCGGCAGCTTGCAGGTGATGGCGTTACCCAAATTCCAAGACCTCCCAGGAATGCAGATTGCCATTCACGACTTTGAGATCCGGTACGAGGATGAGAGCTCCGGCATTTGTGGGCCTCATCGCATTGTAGGCCGGATCTGCTTGCAGATCCAAGCCAGATCCATTCGATGCTCGATCGAATGGCTGGGCGCATCTGAGCGCTCAAAATTCTCTCGGATCTCGGAGGCGGCTTTGTGGTGGACTCCTTGCAGCTCCGAGCTGTCAGCGAGTCCCATGGCCATGGTGACGATACGCATCGCTTCCGAGCCAAAGGCGGGGACTACTGTGTGGGTTGAGTATAACGCAGGGGCCCCCCGACCTCATGAGATCAAACAAGTTGAGGGAACCCATAAAAGAGAAAACTAGAAAAAATGGGGTCAGAGGCGTCCCCGCAAGTAGTCTTAGCCAAATCTCTTGTTAGTCTTGGTGCAGTATTGGCTTTGTATTGCTTAGGGCCCTTTAGGGCCACGTTGGTACTGGTTAGGATTGGTTTATAATATTGTCGGGGGAAATTATTGCCTCAATTGAGTACTGTTTTCATTTGTTATTCTTTGAGTGCCTGGGCCTCGGCCGTAGTCCCCCTGGAACCCCTTGGGCACTTGTTGGCCCCTTTTCAAGAAGGTCGACAAAAGCAAATTGCAGTTTAGGGGTCTTGAGGCAGTTGAAGACGAACACTACGAACACTGATTAGCTAGGTGTGCTTGGAGAAAACAGGGTCACATGTCATGGAGGCTGGGCCAAGGGCAGGATTGGTAAAAATGTTAATTCTTCTTCTCTTTTTTTGGGGGGGGGGGTGCGAGGGGGATGAGCCGGAAACTGGGTGACTTGGAACAACTGTCGTGCAATCGGTAGCCTTTGATCATTCGGTGAGCGACATTCGCTCCAAGCCCTGGCTGCTGAGGTGCTTGGCGGCCCGGCCTGGGCCAGAACGAAGAAGACGAAGTCCAGCACAATTCCTTTTCGTGGAACATGAAAGCACCATGGCCACCATGGCGCTGTTGAGCTGCTGTTGTGCATGTTGAAATGGTTTCGCTGGGTAGTCTCGTGTTCAAGTGTAATTCTTCAACAGCATCAAGACACCTAGGGCCTGGGACAAGCATTTGTTGATCGAACATGTTTCCCATAGGCCAATGGAGTTGCTTCACTTTCAGCATCAGCTTGGCAACATGATACGTTGGTCTGGTCTTATCCGCCCTGCTTAGTGCAACCCTAAAGCCCCACCTGCACGACCAAGACCTTCAGCAGTGCCCTTCTGTCGAGCAGAACGGCAATGTCGAATATGTCTCATCGCCTGTTCGACTTCAGCAACGCGGCTGCAAGGAAGCAAGTTCCGAGCGGCATCCGAGCGCCAGTCGCTGAGAAATACGGAGAATTCTTGCCCAGGTCATGGAGTGCACGGAGGTCTCCACGGTCATGGGATCAAGGTCTTCTGGGATGCCTGGCTGAATGCTCAGCGCTCTACTGCGGTTGGGGCAATGATCGAATTCTTTGGTACTTGTAGGCTGGCAAACGCCTCGTGAGATGGTGGAGGGTGGAAGGCAAGCCGAAAGATGCCTTTCTGTGGAGCTTGCCTTTGCAAAGGCATGACCCGCAATAGAATCATATTGGAGCCCACCAATGGCAAGCATGGGGCCAAAGCAGCCAAGGATATGTTTCCGGTGGACGTAAGCGAAGCCTCCAGCAGCGACATGCCGGCGGAAAGTGGCATCCTGGCAAGGGTTCGCACAAGTCCCAGAAATGAATTTGCACTGCGACCTAGGGGTTCCAGCAGCATCAAGAAAAGATGCTTGTACTTGCGATTTGCTGAGCCCATTCTTTGCATTCGCTGGACGCCATCGGCTTTTAACAAGTATTGGCCAAAGCCCTGCCAGAACTTGTCTCCACACGGCACAGGTACTAGAGCCACCTCTCAATTCCGGCTGCGCTTGAAGGAGGACTCACGCAGATCATTTGCAAGTTGGCATGCAAAATCGCAAGCCACATTTGATCACATTCGTTGAACCACAAGGACAAACACCGGAGTAGCTACTGCTAGATTTACTTACGTTTGCTAGTAGCATCTAGTAGCACTTTGTTTCCCAAGATGGACTCGAGCTCTCATCACAAAAGTCTGAGGCTCCAATACCTTTTCTTGCTTTGTCACTGTTAGCAATGTTGAGCGAGGAGAGTGGCTACAACATCAGTGACTTCTTGAAGACCCGCAAGGGCTTGCGAATGTGGGAGGGGCTGCGCTACGGCATTTGCTCTGTGGTCATGCAGAAATTGCTAGACGAACGGCGAGGAGTGCAGAGAGTCTTGCGGCAGATCTGATGGATCACGAAAGGCCAAGCCTTCGAGTCAAGTCGTGCAGGAATTTGCAATGCAGCAAAGTCTGGACGCATCAATTCAGGAGCGGAAGGCGTGCACCTCTCTGCCCACCGCCTCAGAGAGAAGTCGAGGAGACTGCGGGACATCATTGGCCAGCACAAGTACTTGGTACCTTGGCGCAAGCTATCAGTTCAAAGCCGTGCTTGGCCAATACTGAGTTGTTTTTTGATTGAGCCTTGGCAAGGTTTTGCTAAGACGTTTCCGGAGTCGACGAGCATGTTTTCTATTAGTTTTTCCTTGAGTCACGAGCCCAATTTTTTCCGAGCTCCTGTGCAGAATTGTTCGGAGCCCGACCGACCCTCATATTTTTATGTCATTGGAAAGGGGTGCAGCAGGTTTGATGCGAGCATTATCATTCCTGAAATTTCGGCAGTGAAGCCAAACACAAGCCATGGCATGGCCATGCATGGCCCATGTTCTTCTTACTCATGTCAGGAGTGGTTTACTCAGGTGGAGCCTTTCCACTTCACCGTGCACTTTGTGTTTCGTCCTGTCAAGGGCACTGGAGCGCACCCGCAGCTTGACGTGGACCTCAAAATCCAGGAGTCGGCGTGCAGAAGTTGGTCCCAAGGATTTCAAGCTGAAACACAACTTAGGCTGTATGGGCGGGTGTGGCTGCAGCTGCGTCTGATGTCATGCATTGGGCACCACTTGATTGCTTTTGCTGCCTTCACCCGCTGCTCAGCCCAGCGGCCGAGCTGCACCCTCGTGCAAAAAGCTCTGGAAGTTAAATGGGCAGAATTGCACGGCAACAGCAGAGCTATAGCAGCCTGTTGCGACTTCGAGATCACAGCTTTGACACCATGGCCTTGTCAAATGTCATCGGCTGTTGCTGCGAAAGCAGACTGGACGCACAATCAGTGATCATGGGGCACAAGGGGTGTGACTGATGAGTTAGTTGCCAGGAGCTATCCACTCTGCTTGACATGACGCAGTTGAGGGGCCTTTGTGCGATTCTTGGCATCTTGGCAAGGGAAAGGCTGCAGCAGTTCAACACAGCCCCGCTTCGAACTGGTTGGCAGGAATTATGGCAACACATTGACGTGTTGGTGAAAAGGCACATGGGAGCATTGTTTTAGACTTGATCCGACTGTGTTTAACCACATTGCTGAGGCTATGTTCAGACGTGGATGCGGCAAGACACGCTGTTCCAATGGAAGCCGCCTCCTGCTGCTTACAGGCTCGAGAGGGTGCTTTCGTGCTCAGGAGGGATTGTGTTTCTTGATATTGCTGATTGGCAGGAAGTGTGCGATTTGCTTGGCAGGAAGGTGTGTGTGTGTGTGCTTCCTTTGTTCCCATCTCAGGCAGGTTTCTGACACCGGGGGCGTCGGCCTGAACAGGGGAAGGATGCTGTGGGCATATGCATTAAGACTTGTGCCCCTAGTCAAGCATTTGAGAAAATGCAAGCGTCGTCAGAGAGGTTCGTTCATCAGAGCAAGTTCGGTCAAGTCTCAGTCAGTTCGTGCACATTCCCTCGGTCACGTAGCGCCCTTGGACCTGATGCCCGTCACTCAGGCTGTTCAGCATCCACCCCAAGTACTTCTGGACCTCCCTGGCCTGGATCCACATGCGGCGCAATGCATGTATGCGCCAAGCACTTTTCGAAGCCCTTGCCGCAAGGCGCTCTATGGCGTCCGGTTGTAGCTTCCCCCTTAGAGAATTGACATGCGCTCATCCAAGCTGAAGGAAAGAATGGCTGGCAAAAGAGCACTTTTAAAAGCATGTGAAACCGGGGGTGTTGCAGAGTCAGGTTCCAGGGCGCACCAACCTTTCGCCTCACAGGAACGTCGACCAGGAGCGCGTGGAGGTGTTGCAGGTAAGCCTTCCTTTGTTGGCAACGCGCCTGCATCAAGCCTCGCAAAGTATGTTGGAGCTTGTTCGCATTTGTTCGAGTTACTGCTCAGACCGCCTCCGTGTCTTAGGAATGCTTGGCCGTGCGGAAGGAATTCTTGATCTATCAAGCCACCAGGTTCCGGGCGTGCAACACTGCAATGCGTCACAGGTCACATTTTGCTTGGATGTCCCAGACTCGCCTAAACAGGCATGACATATCTGGTGTGGCAGCCTGTGTCCAATTGCCATTTGCGGAGACTTGTGCAGTACACTTTAGTCGTCGGTCATTT